CAGTTTTATATATATATATATATAATATACATTCCTAATATGAGATACGCGGGTCTATGACTATTCGAAAAATCCTTTTTTCTAGATGTCCTCGATCAAAAGGAAATCCGTGGACCACGATACTGTAGCGAGCAGGAGTGTGTTTGTGTGCGATCGAGCACACGTGTGCGTGAACGGCTTATCGATTTGCCAACTAGCCGCGGGCGCCTTTCTTCATGTGCGCCGTATTTGTAAATGTGTGTGTCGTACCTACGTTCTGGGAAAGCAGTTAAACAGTTTAAGGAAAAAAGTAACTATCCGGATGTTTCCAGATAGTTCCAGAAAGTAAACTAAAGAGTATTTAAAGGAAGAGACGATCGCCGAAAGGGAAAGAAATAAATTGACCGTTGCCGAAGGGAATCCAGAAATAAATTGACAGTGATAGAATTGAAATAAATAGCGCAGGGAATAGTAATATATCAACATTAGTGTACCATAAATAAATTGTTTTTGTCGTTATCAGTATTAGAAGTTAATTTTGTTAAACCCATGAACATTACAATACTACGATTCCGGCCGGAGTATAATGATGTTAATTGGAGAATATAGCCAATAAAAAGTTTAATTTAAATTGATTTCTTTACTTTTTCTCTAAATCTACCCTAAAGAACCTAATATGAGATACGATCTCATATTAGCAACCCTCAGTATTTCATAATAGGAGACCATTTGCCTGAGACGTAATTTCTGTACTTTTTAACATTTTTTGATTTAATAAAAAGTGTATTATAGTTAAAACTAAACGCTCTCTCATAAATAAACTTCATTAAACACCCTATCGATTATTGCAATTTTCATATTGATTAGTGCAATAATTTATGTTTTATGGCCAAAAATAAAAATTGTATCTCATATTCGGCATCTTATAATATTCTATACTTCGACAACATTTTTTTTTACGTGGCCAGTCTTTTAAGAAGAATAATAAATTTAATGAAATATAAAACCCCCATAGGCCATTTTTAAGTAATTATTCACAAATAGAATTGACGAACAATTCAATAGTGTTGAATTAATGTAGTAAAGATTTTTGCTGGATATGAATAAAAATATTTTTTGTCTATGTCAATAAAATAAATTGATTACTTACTCATCAGAAAAAACTAGAGAAACGTCCGATAATTTGAAGGGATCGACGCTTCCGACTACCCCTTTGAAATGCAGAAGCCTTTCGCTCATGTCAGCCGCATCTGTAAAAAAAAAGAGAAATAATATGCGTCAGTTGCTATATCGAATACCATATTTTGAAACAATCCGCAAATAACGTATCAGGTTGATACTCACCGGTAGTAGCCAAGTTCAGACAAACCAAGAATCCCATAAAAATGGCGACTTTCATGATGACGGTTTTATAGATTTTCTTTCACGACACTAAAACTCGAACGCGTTCTAGGCTGTCGTGATTCTGTACCACAAGCAATTCTCTTTTATACTCGGAGAATTGTTCTTGAAAACTGATAAAAGCAACATAAAAAGTTGAGGTACTTCACGATATTAGGCGATAGATATAACACGACGATAAAGTAAAGAAAAAATTATTGTCACATGATTTGTTAAAGCCTTTCCTTTGGCAATTTGAACTTATGCTAGGTTCCTATATCAACGATAGTATTCTGTTAGATAAGAATGGCGACTACTATTAAATATGATGAATATGATTATTAACTACCTCCCATCAGGGTAAAGCAAAATGCTTGTTGATGGAAAGTGTAACTCAAAAGGAATTACATGAGCAAGTGAATACAAAATACATTTCTTGTAAGTTACTTTTTATAAATTTCTCCGTGTCGTTATCTCTTTCACTTGAATTTCAACACCTTGTTGCGACAACAATCATTTTCCTGATATGGGCATAGCACAGTAATTACATCAACAGCAAAAAAAAACGAAAATTTAACAGTATTAAATGTGTAATAACTTGAAAATAAATATTTTCATTTGAATGCATAGAGTGTTAGCTAAGATACTAATCATGAAGAATATGTCTTTTTGTTTTTATTTTTCGAACATAATAACAATTAAAGATGGACAAAACGCAATTTTTGGACAATTGC